AGTGATCTGTATACAAAAGGTAAGAAAGGAGGAGGGAGAAAAGGAGAGGGAAGCAGGGCAGCAAACAAGAAAAGAACTGGCCTATGAAAGAGAAAGCAAAAGTTTTTGTGAACTCTTAAGCTCACTTCATCAGATGCCTGGCCTATAAAGCGGGCTTGAGTTCATAAAAGCTTATGCTTTCTATATATTTTACAGTCAGCCTATAAGGTGTATATCCACCCTGCTTTCTGCCTGACTTCAGATTAACATAGTGAACTAACTCTCCCTACATATAGAACTTCAGATGACTGCTTTTCAGATATCAGCTATGGAGATATTCCTTTGAAAAGCCACTGGAATTGCCTGGGCTGTGGGGGGATGAACCCTAAAACATTTATGACAGAATTAAAATGCTGTATCAGCACTTTTGGCAGCATCATCAGTTTCAATAAGCACATGAACACAGTCCACTACCCAATTAAACAATGTATATGCTGAAATCACTGTATTTTTGTACCTCTCATCTAAAGAAAACAACCAAGGTAAGACAAAGTGCTCTCCATGTCCAGCACATATAACAATGATACCTCAAGCTTTGGAGAATGAAAAGATGGTTGGCCATTGGGAGATGGAATTCAGTGACACCTTCAAGTAGGAATTTGGGGCGAGTCCACCAAAGATACCTTGTCCGGTGACAGACTGCATGGTGCAGGGATTCACCATAAATGTTTGCATCTTGACCATTCTTCTCATTGAGGTGACAGTCACCAAGAAGGCTTTTGCAAACTGCATACTGTACAGGTGCTTTTAAGACAAACTTCCATGCTTGACTGTTTAAGGCACATGTACAGCCTTGAGGCAAATGGATATGTTGACATGGGGTCAGCAAGCTTTCAGGAGTAGTGAGCCACATTACTAAGGCTCAGGCCAAAGCCAAGTTTCTGCTTACAACCCAGCTGCTGCTGCTGACATCCTGGCTTCCTCCCACCTCCCCCTCCCCACCAGCTCACAACAGATCACCAAAACTCACTAAGTGATAGATTACTAGACCTGGAAGTAGACCATGGCTCTGCCCGGGGCCCTGGCCCCATGCTGCTACTGCCCGGTGATCCTGGCTCCAGAACTGAAGACTCCTTGGAGACCGGTCCAGGACCCCTGTGGGTACGGCATGCTTGGCCAGGCGGATGGGATGGGGCCAGGGGTGGGCAGGGAGTGACATCTGGAAACAGGACAGACAGGTAGAACCAGGAACGTGGACCAGTGACAGTGCAAGGCCAAGGCTAGGCCTGTACAATGCACAAGAAGGGGGAAGACGCGTACATACTGTGTAAGGTACTCTCTACAACGTAAAAGGCCGAACTTGAGGCACATGCTCACTCACAATGAGTAAGGTGCACAGGGACAAGCAATCCAACAAGTAGAAAAGTTCTAGGAAAGCAACAAAGACAAGTACCTGGAAAGCTTTCCATACAAAGAGAACTCAACAAAATAAAGGCTACTCAATTTAGAGAGACCCTGACTGAAACCTAACATGACACACCAGGTGACAAATGATAAAGCACTGATTAGCCTTTCCTACTTATCTAATCATATATCTTTAATATCTCAGTCACCTTCTTGTTCCTCATCACCAACAAATGCTACTAGTTATGCTCCACTCTACTGAGGTATGCCCATCACAGTAAAAACCTTTGTCCACTTATCCATCATTGACCCATAAAGATGGAATGCCCTTTTTCTAAACAGCTCCATACAACCTCTGGCTTTTCTTTCTTCCTTTTTAAAACTAAAAGCAAGCTTGATTTTATAATCTTCAGGACCCCACTGGAAAGCCTTGCCAAACCAGCCAGGAACCTTTTGACATTGTTATTTGAAGATCAAGGAAACTGAAAAATTAGGAAGGTCTGGACACAGGAGAAGTGATACAGACCCTGGTAGTAATACTGTATATATGCAAGAAAGCAATGTGCAGGTAACAGTGTTTTATTCTCCTTATGAATGTATTATCCATTTTTTCAAACTCAGCAAAGTGAATATTTCTCATTAGTAAATCTGATATAAAGAACTCCCCTCCCCCCAAACAGCTTGAGATAACATGCCAAATTTTGTTAAGTGCAAAACATCTTTCATTTTTATACCTAGACACACAGCTTGCAATTAGGACACTATCATCATATGCTTTAAAGATACTCGCACACCTTTTCCGAAACCTTCCTTCCTCCTCACCTTTCATTTGCTTTAAGATAGCATCAAAGTAAGCTACTGAAGCTTACTCTGAGTTTGAAAATTACTCTCCTTTTCATGAACTGAGCTTCATTAGACACATCCTGCTCGTACATCTGCTGTACCACTTGTTATGCCATCATCCACAATTAACACAAACATAGTGCATATTAAGTGAAGCACTGTGATAATACACCTGTTGATAAAGAGCAGTATTTGAACTTATCGGTGGTATGTATGGATGTACTATTAAAAAACATCTCAGGGCATGTAACAGAACACAGATTTTCATAGGTGTAATGTTACACTTGTTTTGAGAATTCACCAAGACTCCATCCACAATCCTTTGGCATCATGCAAAAGAAAGGTCAGAGTTGAAAGGCAAAGTCCTTCTGTGTAACAGGAGAGGACAGTGAAACAGAACAGGGAGCAAAAACTAATACAGACAGGAGGAAAAAGAGGAAAGGACTAATAAGGGTGAGACAGAAAGGACTAAAGCAGAAAGACAGAAAGAGGAAGAAGAGCAAAGAATCTTTTAGGACCTGGGTAATGTACATTGTTGCCTTAAGAATGGCATTTAAACATTTGTTTTTTGAGAACTGACTTATAGGTATATGTATATGCATTAGAACGATTCAGGATGGGTAGCAGAGGTTGATGGATTTCTGGAAGCTTGGGTCTCTAATACAGTTTCATACAGCCTTAGAAGCACAACAAGGCCAACAGACAGACATACAGTCCAAGAAACTGGTGGCATGTACCGTATTGTTCCACACATTGTGGCACCAGCTAACAAGGCCCCAGAGCAGTGGCGGGGGAGGGGGCGAGTCCCACTTTTGGGGGAACAGACCAAATTAGGAGAAGGCCCAGAAAGACCAAATTAGTATGTATGCATGTAATTAGCTACATGGATTGTGTGATGAACAGAGAGAGACCAACCAGCAACAGCCATGGATCAAGAGTCATCAGGAGGGAAGGAGAACACAAAAACAGAGACTTGAGAGTAACAAAGGATCCCTCCTCCCCATCCTGCTCATCCTCCTCTCCGAGAGGGGTCCCCCTCCCTGTCCCCAGGGAAGATTCCTGAGGCCACCATGGACAGAGGGCACACCACCAACTCATCTCATCCACCCACTGAGGGGTGAGGTGGGTAGGCCTTGGCTATCCCACCTTCAAGCTGCTGACATCAGACACTGAAGAGTGAAGACTGAGTCCTGGCCAGATGTACTTTGATTCTAATGACGACCCTAGGATTTGGTAGATATATACAATTGCTTGATTGTTTGCGTTGCTTCTTTTCTGTTGTCACCGTGTACCAATAAATTTGCTTATTAGTGAATGGAAAGTTCATGGTCGGTCCCCTCCTCTCCCCCAGAACAAGTCACCTGGGTCCTAAATCCAGAACCAATATACACATCTGGATAGGGCACGGCTCCCAACTAGGTAGCTGTATCATTCAATATTATTAAAACACTACTTCCGCTTCATATATTCTAACAAGCTCTCTTATCTGATTTCTATATTGGTCAGTAATAAAATTATGTTTGATTTTTGTCCCTGAACAAATGAAGAGCAATATACTACTGCTGGATCTAGATTCCTAACTAGGGAAGCAGGGGAAAAACCCAGAGTTTATACTACTAAAGGCTCTGAAACTAGCAGCAGACACTGTTGGTCCCAAAGCATGTTGCAAATTGTGTAATATGCACAAATCTCTTCAATTAATACTGAAACACAACTCCCCATCTGACAGTTTATCCTTTGCAGGCTAAACACCCAAAACACCTCTCATTCTACTGTATCTAGGGAAATTTCAAGTAAGCAGCAGCAGCACATTTATGGTCCTATTTCAGCAACATCTCCCCTGTAATATTTTTCAACAAAAGAGACATTCTTTCCATACACAACAGAATGCATAGCATATACTTTCTTCGAGATAACCAAGGATCAGAAATTTTAAAACAAAACCTAAACTGGACAGGCAATACAAAACCCAAAGGTATGAAATGAATAGTTTCTTGTCTGATGTCTTCCCTCACCTTCGTAACAGTTTTCTTCACTATCCTCTTAAAACTGATTACCAAAAGTTATGTGATCTGATGCTGGAAGAGCGATTTGTCACCCTACAATGGTATTTGTAACACTCTGGGTTTCTGCTAACATATTACCATTATCATGACAGCATTTATGTTTCTTTAACATCTGAAGTATATAATACAGGACATCATAGGCTTAAAATCATAGCAAGGATATGAACATTATTAATGATTCCTCTGACCTCAGCATGATAACAAATAATAATTTTACAGCACAAATGTCCTTTTGAAAGAATTCTTCTCCCCCTTCTCCACTTTTGTCAGTTTGCAAAAGTGATGGACATTGTTTTAAAAATAAGTACTGATAGCAGAGAACTGACTCTGAAACTGATGAATTTGGCCCAAAATTCTTCACCAGTAGAATCTCCACAAATGTTCATTCTTCACTTCTGTAATCCCACTGTTCGGTTTCACCTGAGATAGACTCACTATGCTTTTATCTGCAAATGCCACAGGAGACCCTCAGATACCTGACTCTATTGATCATTTGAGCAAACACTTCAGATTATAGTAGTATATTGAAAGGAGAAGGCTTTGGGTCTTGTTACTATTCCCTTAATAAATCACAAACATGCAGAAAGAATATCTAACTGAACAATTCACAAGCCTTAAAAAAAATTTTATTTAGCTGAATTGTAGAATTAATGACTCATGCAGACAAAGCCCCTTGTTTTGTCATTACGTTGCCCCAGTTTATCTTACCGTGTTCAAGTATTATTAGCTGGGCTCCAGCCTGCACATTTCCAACATCATTTTCTGCAATGCACTGATAGAATCCTTCATCTGATTTCACCAGACCCAGCACCTGCAGGTTGTGTTCCTTCTGAAGCAACAAGATAAAATAAAACTTTTATTTTAAAATGAGTTTTAGCTGTAAGGATAGGGTTTTAAAACAGCATGTTTGCCAGGACTTTATTTTAATGCCTGCAAGTCTTTGAATTTCTTGCCAGATATCATGGCCATTATTGAAAACCATGTCCCTGTCCCAGGTGAAGTATCTTTTATTATGAATCCTCAAACGATACTGGACATTTAAAAAAACACAGAACAAAACCCACCATTAATACACATGGAATTCTTTAACTGCAAAAATCATAACCATAACATTCAGATGTAGAGCAAAGCACTCATACGAGTATATAACAAAGGACCATTCAAGTAAAATGGTCCTGAAAAAGAACTACATACCAGGATATCAAGTATTCACACAGTCTAGTAGCCTCAGATTTACCCAATAATGCAAGCATTAAGTCTTAAGCTATTTGTAACAGATCTCAGTAATGAATTTCATTACGCTAGGGTAGGTTACAATTTAAGGCCTGGTCTGCCAAATTTTGAGAGTCGCTATTTCAGTAAGATCTTTGTGATTGCAATATTCTTGTCCATTTATAAATGACTATACAAAATGTAATCTGAATTCATATTGAGGTTTTTACAGGTTTGAACTTTCCAGATTACCTTTCAAGCTGAAGATGAATACTATAAAGAAACACACCCATAGTATAAGGAATAATGCCAGTGCTCTTCAATAAAATGTTTTGCAGCTGGATTATGCAACAATAAAGGATTCAAGGAACAATTTAATTCTTCTGGACCTTATCCATAATATTGTAAAAGTAAGAAGCTAACCCTATAAAGGAATCTGTCTCACATGCACATACATAAAAGGATTAAGCCATAGGTCCAATACCTCAAAATGAAAACATACTTACAGCAATTTTGAAGTAGTCACTAGGGATCACCATGTCTCCATTCTTGACCCATTTCACAGTTGGAGTTGGTTTCCCAGTCACTTCACATTCAAACACAATATCCATGGATTCATGAGCGTAAATATTAGCAGGCTGCTTCAGAAATTCAGGTGGAGCTTTAAATATAAGATTAGAAAGAGAGACATTATTACTGATACCTAGATTAACACAAACTGGTGCAATTTATACTCTGGGTACAATAAAACTCAATTAATTCATTGTTAAAAAAATGCTTCCATACATGATACAACAACCAGGAGTAACAGGAGCAGGAATTCTGAAGAGACTGAAAACTAAGCACCTAACTCTCTTAGGCTCCTCTGAAAATACTAACTACAATTGCCAGTGACCACAAACAATTAAATCAAACAGAAAACACAACTATACAGGCTACTTTCCCATTCTAGCAGGGGAAAGAAAAATCTGTTACTAGTAGCAAAAAGTAGGAACAGATACAAAATGTTCTAGCTAGTAGGTTTCAAGTTTATGTTCAGACACAATTAAATAGTCAGTTGAACAGAGAAACGAAAGTCAGTTGAACTGAGGCAATCTGGGAACACATGGGAAACAAAGCTGGATCAAATATAATGGAAACACTCTGTAAGAACATGATAGTCAGAAGTCTATTAGAATCAAGGTAAACTTAACTAGAAGCCAACAAAAAGACTCCTATGGTTGAGCAATACATTGTGTGCTCCTGTGCATCTAAAGCAGAGAATTAACTGTGAGTAAGACTGCAGTGGCATAACGCACTGGAGCTAGGAGCTCAGAGACAGGCTATGTCCAGATGTTCAGTTTCTACTGGGAGAACTGCTCTTCTCTAGGTAAAAAGCAGTAAGCGTGCCAACATTCAAGCCTTTAATTCTGAAGCAAAAGTGGCCACTCCAGGAGAAAAATAATTTCTGTCACTCAGCCGACAGGCACCTGAACTGAGCCCAAGGAGTTGTACTGTCCCCTCCCAGCTTCCCTTTGCCCCCATCTCCATCCCCAACTTCTCTCCCTTCCTGGGCCAGTGGGTGAACTGGGCAGGAGGTTTCGCCCTCATGCTTCTCTCTGCTCCCTGATGGGTTTGGGAGGACAAGGGAGCAGTGAAGTGCAGCCCTCAGTCCCTTCCCCAAGCCAGGCATGGCCTGCATTGGAGGCAGGGAGCAATGGTGGGTGCTCCTCTCCCCTCTTGGACACACCAGAGAGGGCAGAGGAGCACTTGAACAAAGCCTCTCCCACCTAATTCACACACTGGTCCAGGAGGGGAAAGCAGCTCCCACTGCTCCCTGCCTCTTCCCTAAATTCAACACTACCTGGTTCAGGATAGGTCTTGGGGGCGGGGGGTGCCCCAGTTCTCCCTCTGGGGTTCCCCAGACCCCAGTCTAGGGCAAGTACAGGGAGTTTTTCCCTGATGTTTCTCCTTCCCCCATCCTCCCCTCAAGGGAACACAATAAAGGTTGTATAACGGAGTCTGTGCATTCAGTTGATCAACATATTTCCACTTGTAAAATGAAAGTGCCTCTACTTATCAAAAGGCTGTCAAAAATCCATGAACAAAAAGTACCGTAGAAATATTATTCAATAAGTTTCATTTTAGATGTACAGCAAATTGAGCTTAGGATCCAGAGAACAAATTTTAATCATGTAGTCAATGTACATGAAGAAAGTGTGCATCGACAGTGACAAATTGTTTGTATCAAAGCCAAAATTCCATAACTGGTGACTTCCCAGAGACAGAGGGACAGGTGTACACAGACTTGTTTACCCCTGAAACTCCACACAGAACATTACCAAATATAGATTTCATATATTTTCATAGATTTCATAGAGATTAAGGCTGGAAGGGACCTCAGAAGATCATCAAGTCCAGCCCCCCGCCCGAAGGGCAAGAAGTCAGCTGGGGTCACAGGATCCCAGCAAGATAAGCATCCAATTTGCTCGTGAAGGTGTTCCTTCCTCCGATGGCAGGCTGTTCCAGACCTTGGGGGCTTGGACAGTAGAGAAATTCTTCCTTATGTCCAGCCTGAAACAGTCTTGTAGGAGTTTATGACTGTTCGAACTCGTCATCCCTTGGGGCGCTCTGGTGAACAAACGTTCCCCCAGATACCGGTGGTCACCACTGATAAATTTGTAGGTGGCCACCAGATCACCCCTGAGCCTCCACTTTTCCAGGCTACAGAGCCCCAGGGCTCTCAGCCTGTCGTCGTAAGGTCCGTTTTCCTGACCTATGATCATGCGCGTGGCTCTTCTCTGGACTCTCTCAAGCTTCTCCACATCCTTTTTGAATTGTGGAGCCCAAAACTGGATGCAGTACTCCAGCTGCAGCCTCCCCAAGGCCGAGTACAAGGGGAGAATGACATCCCGGGATTCGCTTGAGAAGCATCTATGGATGCAAGCCAGCGTTTTGGTCACTTTACTAGCCGCAGCATCGCATTGCAGGCTCGCATTCATCTTGTGGTCAATGATGACCCCCAAGTCTCTTTCTTCCATAGTGCTAGCCAGCGTAGCACTGCCGAGCCTATAAGGATGCTGCAGGTTTTCCCTCCCAAGGTGGAGAACCTTGCATTTTTCGGTGTTAAACACCATCAGGTTCTCGTCCCCCCATTTGCTGAGCCTGTCACGGTCTGCCTGGATCACCCTCTTGTCTTCTGGTGTGGATGCTTTGCCCCAAAGTTTGGTGTCGTCAGTGAACTTGGTCAGCCCACTTCTGACTCCGATGTCCGCATCATTAATGAAGATGTTGAACAATATGGGTCCAAGAGCAGAGCCTTGGACCCATATTTAATATATTAAATGAAATAATAACTTCAATTTCACCGAGAACAAAAATACAGGTAAGACAATTAAACCAACACCCCTCCCCCTCCCCAAGCCCCCACCCCACACGTCTGTAACAGAAATTCGGTTAGACTCTCAGTTCTGTTGGACCTACCATCATGTATCACTGAGTAATCTGAACAAATCAAATTAGACAAGTTTATATCTATCAAATCTTTTCTTCTTTTTTTGTCAGTATGCTGCCTGGCTTAGATTGCACACATTTGCTCTGGTGTCTGTTCAGTACTACAACTATTAGGCATTAAAATGCACAAACCAAAGCCAGAGCAACACCCTCTATAAAATGCAGCCTTAGTTAACATCATATAAACAGTATGTTAAAGAACAAAATACTCTACAGCATGCTTATTTGATGGTAAAGTAGAAAATTATGGGTTATTCATCCAGTTACATCCATAAAAGAATGGGTGATAAATTATTTTGTGTGGCATATAACTTAATAAATTATTCTGATGGTATCAATAAGCATTTCAGGATAGAATAAATTAATGGCTACTGCATTACTTTAAAACATGTCAAGCCCTAGAAACCTGCACAGAGATGCAGTGCTATTTTACTGACACATCAGCAGCAAGAATAGTAGGTCCTCTTAGCAAAAAATCCAAGACTTCAACGCAATAAGTTACAAAATGTTTAGGCTTTGAAACAGCTTCTCTACTAAACAAGCAAGGATCAGCGCACAAGCACTCTAAGACTCTCTAGCCTAATGGCAGAGTGACAAATAGCTTGCAGCAATATACTAGATGAATATCATCAATTATGAAGAACATTCATATTTTTTTTTTGTTTTTCTATGCTCATCAGCATAAGGACAATTTGCTTACTTTTCCTGGCAGGCCTGCTTGCTAATTTCCAGAAAGAGATAAATGCACCCCTTTCCCATTTAAACTTTATCAAAGAAAGTCAATATGAACAGGTCACTGAGTTTAGGCAAACATCTCACCTACTTGATTAGTCAATGGGATCTAATACCTATCAGGGAAAATTTTAAAAATGCAAGCAACCGTTACATTTTTTCCTAAGAACAGTTACATTTTTGTTCACGGTTGTCTTTCTATGATTTTTTTTGTAATGGTTACTTGGAGACAAACAGATCTCCAAACATGAACTCCCATGTCTAAGTGCAGCAACTGCACATTAAAATGTGGAAATACTTTTCTTTAAAATTACCAGTTTGAAGCATTTCTTGCTTCAGTCCAATAACAATATTATTACAACTTCTTCCCCAGTTCCTAATTTTTTAAATTTAACTACCATTTGATTAAGTATCTGATAGAAAAGACATCTATATGAAAGCATACATCTCCCTCCCATACAGGGACATAGGGTTTGAAGGGACATCCAAGGCCACTCAAGCTAGTCTCCTGTTACAGCAGACAACTATATCAGATAATTCCTTGCATATACTTATTTATCCATGTTAAAATCAGGTAGGTTCTTTACACCCACAACACCTATCAAAGTGAAGCTCCATTTGGAAGGTTTAGAAACTTCTTTTTTCCAGCCTAAATTTATTCAAGGCCAATTTATAGGCATTTGGTATATGGGTCACTAGCTTAAACAGTTATCTCATTTTAGTGTCTGTTCTCTGTAAATACACAAGAGGATAATCACGTCCTTTCTCAGTTTTTATTTTGCTAAGCCAACCAGCCTATGATAGGCTCTCATCTCCTTAATCCAGATGTGCCAAACTCACTTGTCTGCCCCAGGATGGATCCAGACCTACCTCTGGTGAACAGGTGAGTGGCAATGTGTTAGCTCAGGGAGCCAGAGCAATTAACACAGGTGTTGCTTGTCCCACCACTGCCAAAATGCATCCCCCACGGGGCTCTACACTCCAGAATTCAGTAACAGGCCTTGGCCCTGCTCACCTTGCCCTTGATTTCCCAAAACCTTCAGGCACCCTGCAGGCCACATACACAGCTCCATTGGCTGGAACCAACCTACAGGCTGTATTTTTGATACTCCTGCCTTAATCATTCTAGACCTTTTATACTTTCTCCACTTCGAATTCTTCTTTCTTGAACACAGGTGACCAAAACTGTATGCAGCACTCCAAAAGAGATCTCACCAGTGCTTTCTACAGTGACACTAGTAGTAATAATTGCCTCTCAGGTTCTCTCTTACATCACATTTGCCTTTTTCATTCATCTACCACACTCAAGATGCAGAGTCACCCTATGTCTGATTAATACGCCCACGCTTATTATGTTTCACCCCATTTCTATTATGTCAGTCTTCGAGATTATCCAGCAGTTGCATGATATACTAATCATAAGTTATTGATCATGCC